ATATATATATATATTATATACGCTATCTAGGAAAGGATCGGATGGATAAAACTATCTTACAGACAGTGCATACAATAAGTAAGGCTGATAAAAGAATACCTGCCAGACGGCGGTTTTCAGCAGGATGTATTCAGGGCAGGGTGTGTCTCCCTAGAGCATGCTTTGTTGGAAGCCACCTGATTTGACTATTGAGATAAGTCTGGCAGATGAGCATGGAAAAGACGGTAGGAGAAAGGATTAGAAAGGTAATATTTCAGAAGGTCAGTGTAATCCTGTATTTGTTATATACACAAATGACTGCTTATTATAACAGGATTTTCACACAATATACACCTGCCACATTAAGTCAAAGATATGTGAAGATGACATCAACCTCCTAAAATTTAAAGCAGCAATACTTTGTATTCTGCTGTGTCTGCTCTGCCATTTTATAGTGCCATACGTAAGATCAGCTTATTTGGCACTCTTGATCAGATAATGTCATAATGTCTAAGCTGGCCATACATTGCTCGAACTTTGGCCAGGTTCTGCTGATTCGAGCTGTGTGTGTGGTTTGTTGAACCAACCAGCTCAACAAAAGTTGATAATTGAATCGACTTTTCTCGAAGGAGCTGGGTGGAAAATAGTCAGTAGAACAGTGACTACAGCTCTTCAGTTGCAGTCAATGTTTATGTATTTTGGGTGTGTTGGGCATCAGTTGTCAGACTACAATAGTCCAGCAGGGGAGAGTACCCTATTCATGCTTATGGTCAGCCTATGTCTACTGACTAGGATAGTGTGGCAGCGTAAGTGACCAGTTTCAATGTAACAACTTAATTCTATGTGAGCTCTCAGCATTAAGAGCAATGTCCTACCCTAGGCTCCCATATTTCTAGCCCTCCCTTCATCCCCATTCTTGATTAATCACCTGAAATCCGCTCCATGGGTGTCCCTGTTGCCGCCCTTCCATCTGGCATCCTTCAATCAGAAAATTAAAGGAGCCGAATGGAAAATCTTCACTAATCAGCTGTTGTTACTGTTTGGTTATTCTGACAGCGGCACACCTGCCGCTGTCACAATACAGAGGACACAGGGGGAGATTTGTCCATCCATGCTGGTTAGTGTACATGGAGATATCAGTTATATTTTTTATTATGTGTGATGTAAAAAAATAACAGTGTATGGCCAGCTTAAGCCTCCCTAATGTAACGATAAAGTGTATGTCCAGCCAAAGATGTATTTTTACTTTTTGATAGAGTGCAGAAGTGTTGTTTTTTAATTGGGCTCTGTTAAAGAGATTACCCTTCCATTAGTGTCTTAGTGAAAATAGTTTCTTCAGACAGGAAGTTGAGCAAAATGTCTGACAGCAACAAAGACAGAAGTAAAACATCTTTTTTTATTTTCCCCAGTCAGCCCCGAGCCATCACTGCTTGGAGCTGGCCTCCTCCACCTCCACTTGGCCTCCTGCTCCACCACCGCCGCTGCCACCACCAGGCCCTGGCCTCCTTCACCGCCACTGCCCAGCCTCCTCCTCTACCGCCGCCTCCTGACTAGGCCCCCCTCTGCCCCGGGCCTCATAGCGACCCACATGGTAGTTATGCCACTGTCGGAGACCATCTGTATCATGACATCTTGGTAAAACAGACTGAGCTACATTGAGTAATACAATGCTTTTGCTTCAACTTTCTAGACTAAAACACAAATGCCCATATACATCCAGATTTTACAGTACACTCCAAATCAATATTTGGAAGGATATCAAAGGAAGGCAAAGGAAGTCAAAATCAGCTTTATCTTATGATCTATAGACAGCCAGGCATAAGGGAATACCAGAAGAATAAATCAGAGTACTGCATCACAAGTAAGAACAGTTTTTGTTGAATGTAATTTAATTAATTTATCAGTGGTTGCATTGATTCTACTACATGTTTGCTAACAGTGCTTCTGCAGTAGAACACTCATTCTAAGTGGGCAGTTCACTATTTACCCTCTCATCTGACATCATTGTTATTGTGCAAGGGAGCAGACATTATTTTAACTGCATTCCAGGGCTACTTATTGTATCTATGTTACAGAGATCCTCCATCTACCGAGATAGAACTTAGTTTTGCATAACTTTCTGGCGAGGTG